AGGAGACAAAGCTTGTCTCATGCAGCCAATGCTGCCTCAGTTTCCTCTCCCTGCCCCCAAAGCTTGGTCAGAAGTCAATGATGGGTAAGACCCCTCACAGCAGGGGGGCAACCTAAGCCAGACTCGATCACTTGGGAGGCCTTCATGGAAGGTCTCAGGGGACTGCAACAAAGAGCAATGGACTCTCACCCCCAGGCTTTGACATAGCCCGAGTCCCCAAGTTCTCTGGGAGAAGCACTTCCTGGCTCTAATCCTCTTAAGCCTGAATACCTGATGGGGAGAAGTGCAGCTCCTTGCCTTGCTAGGGTGTGCCCTGGGAAAAATCTGACATCACAAAGACTTGCTGATAAACCTGTGAAATCTGCTCTGCTAAGAGTGCTTTCATTCACAAGATAAGGGTCGGAGAGGAAATGAGTATGTCTCCCAAAGTTTCTGTAACTCTCTTCCTGACAGACACGGACTCAGACTCTGAAGCCCTCAGATTTCTTTGTAATGTTATCTACTGTTTGATCCTTGCCACCCTGTATTCCTGTGTATTACAACCAGATAAAAGGCTATGGAGCAGGGCGTTCGGGGCCTTTTTCTCCTCGGAGAAACTGGCCACAGCCCACTCCTCCTCCCCAAGCAGATCACCATCATGTCTCCACCATATTTATTCACTCGTGTCCATGGCACTGGGTGGGGGGGGAGACTCGCAAAGAAGTCACTCCCACAATGTTGCATTCTCTTCACTGGGAATAATAATTTTAAATTCCAAAGAAAAAATGATAACCAATAACCTATCCAGACTAAAAAGAATAGACAATAAGTAGAAAGGTATACTAACATTATAAGTTAGTTGACACCAAAAAGATCCAGGAAACTGCTAACATATGGCGAATTGAGAACAGGCTCCATTGTAAAGGCTCAGTGTTGGAAAGTCAAGGCATCAGAGTCTGAAGGATTTGGTGGAAGAGCATGGTTTGGGATCAACTTTGGGAATTTAAAATCACGTACAGTACAGCACAGCAGTGTCTAGAGAGTGATGCCTGACAGTGTGGAGAGCCCAGCCTGCGGAGGTCAGCTGCCCTGTGACAGCTGGTGTGAAGAAATGTCCCATCTCATTTCCTAACGCATTACTTCACAAGTCAGTTTTGACATGTAATATAAGCAAACTCTGCCCAATGTTATTGAAATTATGCAAGGATAAATAAAACACTTAAAATGTAATTAAAGGTCCCTTCTCTTTGAAATGTAAATGTTTAATGACTTTTCACTTATACAACCTTTAAAAAAACTAAAATTTACAAGCATACAGGAATGATCTGAGGCTGTGAAAGTTATTCTCTTCTATGCAAATGTTCAAAAAGAGTTAAAATTGTGTATTGTCTTTATGATCTCAATGAGCTGCCCGCAGTCTTATGTCTAGTAAATTCTGAAAGTACACTAACATGTTCATGGCAGTTACCCTTTTTCCTACTTCTGTTACTACTTCTAAAGTTTCCACAGCAAAGCTATATTATACAAAAGTTACTTAACAAATTAATGTCTGACAATATTAATACATTCTCATTAGAGCTAAAATTTTCCCCCCAAAATTGGAAAAATATTTCAGACCAGATTCTGTCACTTCCTCCCTACATCATACTTTGTTCCAGTTCCACCACGGTAAAGCCCCGTGGATATCTCTTGGTAAGGGTCTGAATCACTTCTAGTTTTTCCGAAGAAGTGCCCTGGGCATTTTGGATAAAAATGATCTTCGCTGTCTGGGATCATCTCACCTTTCAAGTATTACATATCCCTCACTCTTCCAGCCACTCACTGTTAGTGATCACTCCCTCCTAGTCATTGTAATAACTCTAAACACACACTTTTTCCAGATCCCTCATCTAGACAATAGCCACTTTTTTGAGAAATGCCTGTGTTTTCTATTACATGGCAGATGATTAGAGTAGAAGGGAGAGGAAAGAAAATAATACCCCCCAGTGGGGCTTTGTTACATCTTCTATAAGGTGGCCACAACCAAGCTCCTGCTGCAGTGTCCACCAGAGGCAGAAGGGTGTGCTCCTCCCTGAACCAGCCACACGTCTGGGGCCCAGTCAGGGTGGCCCTTCTCCTGGAATCCCCGGGACAGTGTACCCAGTGCTGATCTCCTATCTGCTGCTGTCCTTCTATGAGTGCCTGGGGTTAGGAAAGAAACTTGTGGCAGCCCTTATCCCTCTGATTAAGATTATTTGTTAAGTGAATTAATATGTGTAGGTGTTTCTAAGAATGCCTGGCACTAATAACTGTTCAATAAATGCCATATTCATCATCAATCATTTTCTTTATCATCATCATCATCATTTGTGATTTTCTTTCCAAGCACAGTATATGAAATAATTTTATCCAAAGGCTGGAGCCTGGAAGCTTACAATGATGACCCCTTAGTCTACTACATGCCACGCTCTACATAAAGCAAGTTACTTCTAATGTAGTGGCCTGCCCAGGAGAGGAGCTAGCCGGTGAGTCAACAGGATCAGGGAGAGCAAGTAACTAAGTAACTGAGGAGTAAGAACAAAGAAATTTGTATTAACTCCTATCAGCAGTTCCGTTTTCTTGCTTCTGTAAACTGCTTCCTGCTTTCACACCAGAAGTAAGGGTCCAAGTGACAGACTGCCCCCCTCACCCTATATAAGCCATTACTCCCCACTGATTGGGGCCCAGAATTTGGAGACGGACTCCTCTGGGTCCGCGTGTGAAAATAAACTTCCACTCCATACACCTGAAAGCAGCTGAGTTGTTTTCTGTAACAATTCTACAATCTGGTGACGATCAACTTAAGATAAACACTCCTGCCCAACTGTCAAAATTTTAAGTGGCAACCATACTTCTCATACACACAATGATTCTGTTCCTGGTAATGTATTTTTCCAAAAAAGTTACCAAAATTATTCACAAATACATATTTTTTAAAATATTTGTTAAGCTGTAAAACCAAACACAATGTAAAATTCGTAACACATATTCCTTCAGAAATTTTCTGCATACACTGAACAGTTGAAATTTCTTCAAAGACTGGGACATTTGAACCAGAAATAGTTTTTCATGGCTTAGAAAAAGCTTTCTGTAGCAAGTGAGTCTTTTTTTTCCCATTGATTGAAGATCCTCTCTGTAGGATTCTAAATTAGAATCAAATGTCTTGAAACTATACACCGTCAGTTGCATCCATGAACGTTCTGATACGCCTTTAAATAAAAACCCCAGGTCACCTGTTGACACGTCCTGTGTTGGTAGAGACTGCAGACCCTTAGTGGAGTGAGATAATCACAGTTTGAGCAGGTAACGGGGGCGGGGACTCTAGGGGTAGGGTTCTAGTTAATTACTTTTAAAAGATCTAAAATTGGTGTTTGCCAGACAAACAAGTATAAACTGAAAGCCAGCTATATTCCGAGCTGGGACTTGGTCATCCCTGCTCTGACGTACAGCGTCTCTGATGCAGAAACACTGCGGTTGCTTGAGATTCAGTTGTCCGTCCACAGGTCCCCAACTCCTACACACTTGTAGCAGCAGCAGCTGCCCCACGCTGCTCTCCGTAGCCCTCAGTCAAGGCGCAGTGGGACCGAGGGGGAGACAGCTGAAGAGGTGAGTCTGAAGTGAAAAATAAGAATAATGCTAAGATAAAATGAGGTTTGTTACATTTCAGTGTGCAGACTTACCTACGAAACACCTTGACTTTTCTTTATAGGAGTGTCCTTTACATAAGAACTTAACTACTGATAACCCGTGTCCCTGCCAATCAGTAAGTGTGAAAGGTCACTCAGAGCAGAAGACTTTTAGGGAGAGTTTTTCATTAAATTAACAAGTGTTTGCATCCTTTTTAGTTCTCTCTAAAAAAAAGAAAATATCACAAAGCAAAAGGCTCAAAATAGATCTATTCATTAGTCCTTGTTAAGTATCTGTGCATTGCCTGGGCTGCCACATTTTATGTCCCAATTTAAAAGTCATTCAAGTTCAAATTCTTTTCAGTTGCAATATGTTCAGTATCCCTGGGGAGTTTGTGAGCCAGATGGCTGACCAATATGCAGAGTTCCACCTAATATAACTTTTTTTCTTAAAATAATTGAGTTTCTCCTCTTCATGTATCCTTTAATAAAGAGCAAATTACACAACAGAAAAATGCTATTGACACGTGTTCAGGTTTTGGTGGGTGATTTAATACGAGTTAGTCTCAGTAAGTATGGGAAGAAATTGGGTCATAAGGTAGACTTCCTAGTCCACAGGTGCTCCTCAGCTCGCTATATAAATGAGTAGAAATGCATGTTACTTGTCCAAATTAAACTTGAAAAAGCCCGGGAATTTTAAAAGCAGACCAAACTTCCAGATCTGACAAAAATGTTTCCTGATTGGCTTCATCAAAAATGTGTGCATTTCAGCAGTTCTCCAACTAATATTCTGCTGCCTCTCACACAACAACCACATAGAGATTCTTGATGTGGTACAGTAGCGTGTTAAGATATCAGTTTGCATCCTTCCTCCCAAATACTGAATGTGTTCACTCACGCTCTGAGGGCTTCCTCCCTCCAAGTGCTGGGGTCAGACCCATGCAGAGCCTAAGGAAGAAATATCTAAGATACTCAACCCTTCAACAGCATGGCTTAACAGGATACTGAGAGTCTCACACCTGCTTGTGAGGGGTGGGTGGTTACTGCTCCCCAGTGGATGAGAGGAGAGACAAGGGACTGCCACGTGGACAGAAGAGCATATAAAAAGAACCAGAAAGTCTCTGCATGTTGTGACTATTGACACAAAGGAGGGGTGTGGGCCTGAGTTAGTGCAGAATTGTTCTGTGAGGCCACCACTCCTTAGCTTTCTCTCTCTTCCAGTTGCAGAGGTAAGAGTTGCCTTACTTACTGCTTCCAAGGGCACATTCCAGGAGCTCTATATACACTCTACGAGCAGGAACAGGGTCCTCGCTGCCAGCCACAGCACAGGGTCCACCTTCAGTGTTCCATCTTAGAGATGGCTTCTGCGGCAGTGACTGTCTTAGATCCCCTTCTGCTGGTAACAGACTCTAAGATGTAGATTGAGTGCAGGAAGTGTTTAGTGCAGTGCACTCAGGAGTAACACCTCTGAGGGGCCAAGAGAAGCAGAATTGAGCAGAGGAAGAAGCTGAATGGCAAGGCTCTTACAACAGAAGCTTCAGCCAAGCCCATTAACACTCAAGAGGTACAATGGATCCTCAGGCTTGTTCTGACTTGAGGGAAGGAGCAGGGTGTTTGTGTCCCTGAACTGACCAGTTCTTGGAAGTGGGCTGCTCCAAGGATGCTCTTCAGCAGAAGCCAACTTTTACTAAAGGATTTAGATGTGAGTTTTCAGCAGCCAACATTCCCAGCAGCTGGGAGAACAAGTGTCTCTTAAAATCATATCTTCCTGATCTAGGGCCTTTAACCTTGATGCCCAAGTTGTCCTTTAGTAAATTGTCAACATCCTGCAAATATTTTTTGCCAACCCTCTCCTCTCTAGTGGCACTTTGTACTTGTCTGCCTGGAACAAGTAGTGATAGTTTGAAAAATGAGAGATAGGAAAAGCAGGGCATGAGAAGGGTCACCTTTGCAGCATAACTGTCTTGGGTGAAGTTGTTTGAGGTTTCCAGGCAAGGCAGGACCCGCTTCACCGATAACAAGGCAGGGCCTGCTCTACTGGCAGAGGGAGCCCTGCGGGGACCAGGACACAGCATCATCGAAACCGTTAGGAAGGCTCCCTTTCCGAACCCTCATGGTCTTCCTCCCTCCCAGCCACACAGTAGATCCAAGGAAGCTATACGTTCAACTCTTCGAATCATTAGCAACTCCCAGGTCTTATTTTCATGACGATAGCTCTGCGGTTACAAAAGATTAAAACAATATTTTAAGATAATCCTGATCATGCCTGGAGCCAAAATAAAAAATTCTAGTTTATGAGTTTTTTCTTTGCAGCTTTTCAGAGCAGTCAGAAGCAGCCAGGCCACAACACCATTGCTGCTAGAAGGGAGTCTGTACTCATACCACAGTAACACCAGAGAAGTAGTGCTGTCTGCACCGTCACTGTTCACCAGAAGCGCAGTGTCCAAAAGACAGTGTTTACCACGTCCAGAGTTCATTTTCATCCATCTAGTAGGCTGAATGACTGGTTTCCAAGATTCTATTAGCCACAGCAATAAAATACTTACGTTCTGAAAACCTTTGTATGCATTCTGTTCAAACAAAAATCTAAAGCTAAGAAATTGCACAAATAGCTTCACAGAACAATAATTATGTGAAAGAAATAAATATTTTAAGTAAAGAATTTCCCTATAAGCTTTGAAGAGGAACTTAATTTTTTTTCAATTATATATGCATTTTTAAGTGTTGAGAGCAGGGGAACTTCTAGTGATTTCAAAGTACATTCTAAACTTTTAGTATCGGCAGCCACCTCAGATAATAGAGGAGATTGCTGTGGAGAAGAATGCTGGAGAGATGGGGTTAAAGTCCATGGTCAAAGATAGAAAATAAACTTGTTCAAGCAACTCAGAATTAGGCTGAGAAAGAAGCATTTAAAAAAACTGATATGTGGAGACATATGGATTTAATTGCATTTAAAAACATGACTACTTATTTAATGAAAAACTCTTCCTAAAAGTCTTCTGCTCTGAGTGACCTTTCACACTTACTGATTGGCAGGGTCGTTGTAGTAGGGTCGGTTGGTAGTTTTTTTTTTTTAGATTTTTTTTAATACTCTGCGCCCCCTCGGGGGGGCTGGGTGAGTCAGTTGGTTGGAGCGCCATCCCACACACCTAAAAGGTTGTGGGTTTGATTCCCAGTCAGGGCACTTACCTAGGTTTTGACAGGATTCCCAGTCAGGGCGTGTACGGGAGGCAACTGGTCGATGTTTCTCTCTCACATTGATGTTTCTCTCTCCCTCAAATCAATAGACATATCTTCAGCTGACTACGTGGATAATTTTTATTTATTAGGTTCACACTATCTTTATATAAAACATGTTTAGACACTGAGTGCCACACAGCAACTGCTGAACTGATCCTCTAAAACAAGCACCTACAGCATCTTTATCTTTAGAGAAAAGCTTTTCTGAACAAGCCGATGGAGTTCTTCTAACATATAGTCAATAGCATTGCTGACACTACATTGGGTTAGGAAAAAGTGGTACTGTTTTGAAGTATATGATATCCTATAATTGTACGTGACTAGGTTTTTCTACAGTGTAAAATAACTGTGTCTCTAGGTAAGTAGTCCCTAGATAGAAGTAAGTTGTGGTTAGAGGACACTTTGGAAAGAATTAAATTGCTAACGGGTGAAACTTCTGGACAAAAATGTTTTTTACTAACAATGTATATGCAAAGCTTTAGAGATCAAGGTAGAGCACCAGCATCCAAAGTTAATTGGCTATGATGAGATGTCAAGTTGGACAAATAAACTACTTTTTAAATAATGATTATGACTCGCCATATAAAAAGTAAGATTAATATACTTTAAGCCACCATGTAAAATTACTTTTTAAATAGTCCAGATGAGATTTCAAGTATATTACCAAAAACGAATATAAAAAAATAGAAAAGCACCGTTGCAAACAACTTGTAAATACTCTTTAATTCTGTAAAGGCTGCAGACACAATATTTATAGTGACATTCTGATTGGCATTTTACCACCTTAAAATTATACTTACAGGGGCTAAGAACAGATGTCAGACACACACATTTTGATTATATATGCATTTGGCTCAGGTGTGAGAAGAAAGGGCTGTTTTAGCAATTAAACAAAGCCTTGAGGTGTCCAGCAGACTGTGTTAACTGTCTTTGTGAGCAAGGAGAGTCTAATGTGCAACGTGAAACTTAAAATGTGAACATTAAGAAAGCCTATTCTTAAATGTCTCTTGGCTTCTACCACACCTCTGTTCTCTCCTACTTGTGGCTCTCTTTCCCCAAATCCCTGTTTATTCCTAATGTTCCACCACTCCAGCATCTCTTTACTGCCTCCAAATCCTCATATTTCACCCCAATCTATTACACAATGATTTTCCAAAATAAGAACACTTTCCCCTTATACAGAAATTCCGCCGTCAATGGTTGAGATCATTTCTTCAATCCACCACCCCAGCAAAAATCTGCAGACTAAGAACGGGTCCACCTCACTGAGGTTTAAATCCTTGGACATTAAAGATGTTCCTGATCCTCAGGCAGACAGGCTTGGAGGAAGGTCCTGCTCAGGGCTTCTTCTGTCACAACCGTATGGTCTGTATTGTCTGCTTCTCCTCTTTGGTGTCCCACATTGGCCTGGTTAGTGATAATATACCACCTATGGAGAAACACCTTTTGGCCATTATTAACACAGTTCGGTTTTTCTGGGAAGAGTCTGTATTCAGTATGCCCGCAGCCCTGCAGGGCCCCACTGAGAGATTCACTCTCTGCCAATTCCCATCTGCAAATGCGCCCTGTGGGCGTGCATGGCTGCGAGACCCAGGCAGGGGCTTTTCTGTCTGAAGCCATGCTGGTCACGAGGTCCACAGTCAGCTGCTGCAGGCCTTGGTGAGAGCAAAGCGACTTGCAGGTGGGAGCTTCTTCAGAACTTCCTCTCACTTCTTACAAACCCTGTGACTATATCCTGTAAAACATTGTTATGTGTTTTATACATAACAGCCCCTAAAGATCCTTGATTTAAACCTAAATATCAGCAACATGCTTAATGAAAATCAAGGATAACAATAGAAAAAACAAAGCCTATATCATCAAGAAAGAAACTAGGGAAACAAAAACAAAATAAACAACAAAAAAAATCAGCCTATAAGTTTTCTATCTTTATCATGGAAAAGAGTTTAAATGAAAGCCATTTTCAGCACAAAAATCTTTTCATAGTTACTCTGCTCCCTAAATTTACCTCCAGTATATTATCTAAGCACCTCCTTCAAAAAACTTAAGTTTTACACACTAAAACAACGAATCAAATGTAGCATTTTTAACAGTGATGACAGACAAACTGGGCTTCTTCCACAGCCAATTCTCAGATATTTACAACAGGATCCTCAGGTTCTGATACATATATAGTAAATTAAAAGCCCATTTAGTAACTTTATTTGACAGCTAAGCTGTCTGTAAGCAGCCCTAGGCAAAGGATACAAATGTCTGGTTCCTCACAGAGAGCCATAACTTACAAACAACTTTACAATGTTTAGTCTTCCTTTCTTTGGTCTATAGACTCTGCCATCCGTTTTATGTTTAGTGCCTATTTGCCAGGGCACTAAAGACATGCTCAGAATAAAGTATCCATGAACACACTATTTATTAAAATGAAAAGGAATTATGTGAGAGTCCCCTTTTCAAAAATAGTCATCGTACATTTGACCTGTACTGGTGAGTAATAGGGTTTCATCTGGAAAATGATTACATGACCGAAACCATTTTCTCTCAGCACACTGTTCTTCACAAAACCCAATGTACTTCTTGGTAAAATAAGCTGAAAGCTCCTAGTTTAAATAAGCAAATTGAGAAGTGTATAAGGATGTATATTTACTGATGCCTTTTAAAGTGCTCATAGAATTGCATAGGATCTATAGCAGTCTTGGCTTCTTCCCTGTGTGACTGACTTGGGTCCTTTTTCATGTCTCTGGGAACTGTCCCTCCATCGCCATCTCAGACTTGGACCTGCATTTCTAGGGCACCAAGGCCAGACTCCTCACTTCCCAACAGTCTCTGTTTGCTCATCCTCTGCCTCCCCATCTCCCACACCCTGGAAGTTCTTTACAACTAAGCAGTCTTCTTCCCAAATGACATTTTCTCTAGGTAGACATCCAAGTAAGGACACACACACACACACACACACACACAGAGGATTTGACCTAAAATCCCAAGTCACTTACCTGCAGCCATTCACCTCACTCTCCTGTCCCCACCAGTAACAGATCCACCATTACCTGCCCATTCACCTCAGGCCCCAGATACACCCCAACTAACTGTTGTTCCCATTACAGTCAAGAATGCTCATTTATTCCTGTTCCCCCTATGAACATTCCGGGGGCCTTTTAAAATGCACTTGAATATCATGTATTTCAGCACATCTATTTTAACTCTCTTGGGCAGATACAGAAACTCCTCATCCATGCTTCTCATAACTGCCCATACACATAACTGCATCGTTGCAATTGTTGCTCTTCATATATTTTTAAACAATTTGCCTCCTGGTTATATTATAAACTACAGAACAGCAAGAACCACACTTAATTAGCTTTTGTATTTTTATGCAATCACACTACTTGAAAACATAATTTTAATTGAAATGTCTATTACATACACCCTAAACTGGGAGCTAATCCTTTCAAGTGACAATGAATAAGAAAGAGATATTTCTGCTTTGAGAACTGAAGTGCCGGTACACATCTATTAGTGTATAAAGAATATATACACGCAATGAGAGAGGCAGGGGCAAAATAGAAAATGAACGGAATTAAGCGTTTGAATGAACCATTGAAGTCCTACACAAATTGTGACTAATTTTGGAGAAGTCTTTGGAATTTTACTAAGAGATATTCTCCTCTCAGAAAAGGGTCTGCTTCTGCACATGAACACACACACACACACGCACACACACCTTCAAGATAGTTTTAAGGGATCTTTTGCCCCTGAAATGCATCCATGGATTCCAGTGGAGAGCTTTTGGCTATCAACTTCTGACCAGAGATTAAGAACACTGCATATTTGGAAATGATGTGAAGGGCAGAACTCTGCCTCTGTTCTGTGTTACAGAACTCTGTAGTACAATCAATAGTCAGCTTTAGGAGAAGTGGAAGTTTGCAACAGGAAAGAAAGAGGGTGTCCCTTTGGACCACACTGGCTAAGAGAGCTTTTGCCC